TAAACGCAATTGTGTTAATAATTGAAATTAATTAAAGATTCTACTACAAATTATATTATAAAATGATAAAATATATAATAAATATTTCACAGATAGGATTATTTTTTCTTAGATTATTAAATAAAATATTACAAAGTCGTTAAATATTTATATACCTCACTAAGCTTTGAAGACATTCAGTCCTAAATTTCTCTTTAATTTCCTCAATTTCACGATTAAATTCATCGACTTCTGCTTTTTTATTCTTGATCCATTCTTCTTTCTCATTTTCATTCAACGTTTTATATTCATTATAGGCTTTGTAAACATCGGAAGCCCAATAATACAAATTTTCGCATCGACTACCAGGTAAAGTGTAAGTGACAAGGCAAGCTTCAGCAAAATCAAGAGGTTTTATATTATCGATATTGGGAAGACAAGAAAGTACATTTTCAGGAATCTGATTTTTTAAAACTTCAGAGCTTGTGGAACAATATTATGTTAGAAAAATGTAATTTTCGCGAAATCAAAAGATAACAAGGATTAATTACCTTTTGGTTTCTCTTGACAAACAGGAACTGCAGCATACTCGTTTGAACTCCCAGACCAAACATCGATCAAATTTATTTACAGGGACTCTACACACCTGGCATGAAGTGCCTAATTCTTTCAACCAAATATATTGTTGTTCACTCATGCCTTTAGGTGGAGATTTTTGCGAGGTCATTGATATTCTAGAATTACGCCAGATTTGTTGAGTAAAACCAGAAGTGGCCCACAAAAAATGACGAAGCTTTTTACAAACTCTGGTTAATGTATAAAGATCTTTGGGTGAAAGATTTTCACAAATTTCAGCCAAAATTTCTGAAGTCAAAGATAATAAAGAAAAATTCGTCATATTCAACACGTTCGTCAAGGATTCATTTGAGCCTTCTGTAAAAACGAGAGATTTCTGTTCAAAGTTCTCTTCACCTTCCATGTTATATGAAGGATAAAAAAACGATAAGGTTGCTACATAGCATACAGTACTACGTATCAGCTACCTACTTACGTCAGATTGTCGTTTTTTGGGCCTTTTTTAAACTTATTAGTTTTTTTTTACAAAAAGCGTTAGTTTTCGAATAATAAATTTTGGGGTCCAAACAAAATTACGCAAAACTTCCAAAAATGATTGTTTAAGTCACCTGTTTATATTTTTTGTTACGAAATTTACGAGTTTTGTATTTCAAGTAGTACACTTGTTAGCGTTAGGCCAAAATTTTCATTCTTTAAAATAATTATTATTCTCTTCGATCTCGTCAAAAAAAAAAGCTCTAATTCCTTTTAGATTCTACTAAGGTATGAAATCACTGCCTTAAGTACTATACATAAATAACTTAACGATTTATTTGACAGAATTTCTTATGAATTTATTTTTGTTTTGATCAACAGCATTTTCAA